TTTTCATTTACACACTCTCAAGTCTGTTCGTACGCCATTAACCACTCGTACATCTCTCTCCCTCACTGATGGAGAACTTTTGTCTGATGCTACGGAATATCGTAGTATGGTAGGTGCATTACAGTATTTAACTTTGACAAGACCTGATATTACTTATGCAGTTCATTTAGTGTCTCAATTTATGCATGCCCCACGCACCACTCACATGCTTGCTGTCAAGCGCATATTTCGTTACTTACAGGGAATCATTGATCACGGATTATGGCTTCAGAAGTCTGTTCGCCCTATGTGTATTTTGGCTTATTCTGATGTTGATTGGGCAGGATGTCCGGATACCTCTCGTTCTACTACAGGTTTCGCTGTTTTCTTAGGTCCAAACCTTGTCTCATGGAAGTCCAAAATGCAGCCTACAGTCTCTAAATCATCTACTGAAGCTGAATACCGTGCCATTGCATATACAGTTCAAGACACATTACACATTCGATTGGTCCTATTTGAGCTTGGTTATGCAATCCGTGAGCCTGTTCAGTTATTATGTGATAATATCTCTGCTTCTTATCTGACAGCTAATCCTATTCAGCATGCACGCAGCAAGCATATTCAAATTGATTATCATTTTGTTCGTGAGAGAGTGGCCGATGGTGATCTGGTCGTGAAGTATGTTCCTACACGTTTGCAACTTGCGGATATTTTTACTAAAAGTTTATCTAGTCAGCAGTTTCATTTTTTAAAAGACAATCTGCGCGTTGTATCTCCCGCACAGCTTGAGGGGGTGTAATAGTTAATATAAATTAGGAATCCTTGTGTATTTTGGCAACTCTTATTTTACTATAAATATACCTGTCAGGACTCCTATCGGAGTACGGTTTTTCCAATTATCTCACATTAGAGAGGAGTTCAATCAACAATTGGACAGTATACAATTTTGCATTCTTTGATGCTATTTGTTTTGCATTCATCTCATAGATCTTGTGGAGCAACTGATAAAGTTTTTTTTTGTGATTCTGGGTTTTATAGGTTTTTCTAGAACTGTTTTAGTAAGCAACTTATTCATAGATTTATTTAAATTTTTCTAATCAACTAGCCGTAGAAATATACTTGAATATGTGATCAAATTTGTCTGATTTATAGTTGTAGTGAAACGAGTCTTCGGTCTGTTGATTTTTTCTTACTGAATAATCTTCCGCATGGAGTTGCCACGAGTCCAGTCCCAAACAATCAACAGACCAAATTAAACGTCAAAATCTCCTCATCAAAATCCTATGCAAAATTAAACCCCAAACTCTCTAGCTTCTTACATTTCTCTAGGAATCCGTTGAGGATTTCGCCGTTCTCGGCATCATGAACACCGAGATTGGCTTCCCTGAAGCAACCTAAGGCTAACGTATACCTGTCAAGGGAGAGAAAGATATTACCTTTACAGAGCAGTGCCTTGAAATTGGGGTTCTCGATCCTCAACGCCTCGTCGCAATCTTGCAAGGCGGATTGGAATTGGCGGAGGCGGAAGTGGGACTCAGCCCGATTGCAGAGAGCTACGCAGAGGGATTTACTGAGCTTGGAATGGCGGTCGGAGCTAGGGTTTAGATGGAGTCTGGAGATATGGGAATTGCAGAGAGAAATGAACTGAGAATATACATGGATGCATTCGGTCCATTCTTCTCCGAGTAGATGCTTCGTAGCTTTTGATCTCAGTTGCCGCATTATTTCTGCTTCTTCGTCTTCTTCATCTTCTTCCCAGATCTCTGCTTGAAATTCTGCTTCTCCCATTTCTGCTCTTTCTCGTCTGCGTGAGTTCTTGATTTTGGGACGATCCAAGTAATGTTCATTTAATGTCCCGTTCTGTTGCAAGTTCTAACGGCTAATACAAAGTACGGAGTATTTCTTTTATTTGCATCCACTTTAACATGTTCCTTTAATTTGATCTTACTTTAATTTTATTTTATTTTCTAATCTCACTTAAATATGACGCTCAACAAATAAACAAATACATTTTTTTTCAAAAAAATAAATAAATAACAACTAAACAGATACATTTATTTTGTAAATTTTTTGATCACATTCTAATAAATCATGTGCTTATCGATTAAACAAAAAATTTAGTCAAAATATCTATGTTTTGTGTTTTTAACCATTTGTATATTGTACTTTTTCAAATATTTTTACTGTTTTGTTATACATGTAATTCTATATTCTGATTTTATAATTATCATTTCTTTATTTAATTTTTTGAATCAATTGTCTATTTTGACTTGCTAAATATTTGGTCTTTTTCATGAATCTTACTAAATTTTATTCAAAAGGCAAAAATATGAATTATTTTAATTTTTTCAAAACAGTGACATATTTAATGACTCGTTTCCAGTAACGCGTCATCTACCTGTGACTTGTCATTCTGAAATATACTATAGTGACTCTTATCCAGTTACTCGTACAATGAATAGTTTTATACTATGTGATATAAGATTTCTCCACAATAGAGAGAAATGACTTCAGACGCATATTTATTACTTAAAATAGAAAAATAGAAATGGTGATGTTTTTCAAATGGGCTAAATAAAGAGAATTAGTAAAGCTTAATGAGACAGGAATACATATCTATCAAATATTCTCTCCGACTCAAATGAATTTCATTCACTCTTTCTTCATTGGTTCCAAGATAAATTCCTTTTTCCTTTTATGATAAAGAATTTGTGGTTCATTATTTCTCATCCTTCTCCTTGCCTTTCTCCTTCTTCTTCCATCTTTCATTCTCCTTTTTTTCTTTTTACTTTCTATTCATCCTCAACATCGTCATCTTCACAATTATGTTTGAGTCACTGGAAAATCGCAGGATAGTTACTATAAATTAAAGATGAATGGTCACTAAAATTTTAGTCTGTGTGGTATATAAAATATTTTTTATGTCATGTTGAGTAGTGATATAATTTGTGTGTAAGCAAAAACAAATTTGAAAAACAAGTAACAGTTTGACAAAATTCACCACAGACGCAAAATGTTTTGATACAGGCACTAGTTTGCTTTCAATATTTGTGTACAAAGATAAAAATGTTGCATAGAACTCAATGTTAGGTTGTACAGAAACCAATGTCTGTTTAGGAAAACAAAAATGTATATGTACAGACACCTTTTTGTTTGTGTACAAATAACTAATATATGTATACACAAACATTGGTTCCCGAGCAACCTAACCCGGGTTTTTTTTTTTGAAAAAAAGTACACAAATCAATATGATTTACACAATAACAATTGTCTATATACAGACATTAATTCTATAGACAAAAACTGTTTGTACACATAATTTTTGTATGTGCGCAAACATGTTTACAACAATTTTTCCAATTTGATTTCTTCAAACAAACAAATTTTATAAAAAATCAGGATTATACAAACACTATTTTACTAAAGCCCAAATAATAATTTCAGCAACATTTCCATTTACTCCAACTCTGGTTATCTTTCTAGCGACTCTAACTACATTGATGATGAAATAGATAAGATAACATATAACAAAAATTGATATGATGAAGATAGAAGAAGATGAATAACATGAAAATGATGAATACGAGAGGTGATTCATATGTAGAATGATAAAGATAAAAGATGGAAGATATGAAGAAGAGAAAAAATGTAAAAGAGATTTTCGTATGAAAGAGAAGAATGGGAGAGGGGTGAAGGAAATGGTAAGTTTTGTATGGTTTTATAGGATGTGCAACAATATATACACCAATGTCATCATGCATTTTTTCATACATTATTTGTACACATATAGTGTACACCCCGTAGTTGTCTATATACATAGACAATTCATTCAAGAGTTGCCTTAGAGACGCATAATTAGGAACAGTGTGCACTTGTGAACAAAAATATATGTACACCAAAACATAAAAAAAAAATTAAAAAACTTCGTATAACTCTCTTATGGAGTCATATGGGGTAATAGGGTATTGTGGATTTGTCACCACCCATTCATTTATTTAGTGGAGCCGTGGAGGATTCCATAGAAGAGTCATATGGGGTTCTTTAAATTTACTCACCAAAACATTACTCTTTTTAAGTTATAGAGAACAAAAAGATAAATTAAAGGTTTGGAGTTTTTAATTGTTAATCATCAAGTCACAGTACTATACTCGTAGTACATTGCGTCTAGACTGTCGATTAATGACTAACAGATTCTTATCATTATTTTGAAATAAATACGTAGTATATGAGTATTTTGCTGTTTGAACTTCGTAGTAAGACGTTTCATTAAATTGGTGTATTTTATTACTGTTAAGTTTTTTAAAACTCTAAATTTCACTCTTAGTTTTTAATTTTCTGTTATTTTATTACTGTTTCATTTTTATGAGTAGTATGAGCTAAGGTTGGACCGGGCCGAGACTGGGTATTTGGGTTTCAGGCCCGTACTGGGCCAGGTTTGTACGAGGACAGGGCCGGGCCGGGCCCGGGCCGGGTCAAGGATTTTTTTATTTGTTTAAAATGGAAAGAAAACAAAAGGCCCGGACCGGTCCCTGACCGGCCGGGCCGGTCACCTACTTTGTAGACCCGTAGCCCGCCCTCCCCTATACTCGGTTGCTCCAGTCCCAATCCTGATACCACCTGACTGGGGCACTGGGCCAGGCCAAGCCTAAACAGTGGCGGGACCTGGCCGGGCCGACCTGTCCCAATCCATCCCTAGTATGAGCTAGCGCCTAGCGCTTAGCTCTATTTATCACTGATATGTGTTAAATAAAAAAATATGTTTTTTTAAATTCCATCCAAATGTTGAGACTTCCCTTATGTTTTATAAATGGTTGTTTGACGATCTTTACACTTGTGCTTCAGTGCTTGCATATTTGTTATGTTTCTCTTTTTGGTTTTGAGAGGTTTTTGGCTTTATGTCCCCCCTTGTGTATTGATTCTTTATTCAAATAAAATCTGGTGGATGTTAAAAAAAAGTTGAGACAAGAACATCCCCAATTTAAATCTTCAAAACCCTTGAATGGAAGACAAACCATTATGTAATTAAACAATCAGTTATGGGATCAGTTCAATCCATTTTCTGGTCAAAACCAGAATGTGCTCAGCCTAAACAATGTATATTAAATATTGAGCATTTTTTAAGAGAAGAATGCAAGTTGCCTTCAAAAAAGTGAGACCATTGTAGAGTTACAGTAAGGAATGTTGATCCTCTTCATGGCTTTAAAGCAAGGGGTTGTGGTCGTGCCCAACGAGCATCACGTTACATGAGTACATGACCAATAAAACTCACATTGATGAAACAATCTTTGTACAGCAAAGCAAAATAGCCAACTTTAAGGCCAGACAGAGGATCCACATTCAGTAGTTTAGGTATCACCTGTACAAAGTAATGTTATGATCCTTTTGGTTGTGATTTAGTTGGAGGAATTACCCTTCACTTTTTGAGAAGGTACATTCCATCCCGAAGTTCTAACTTCTCTTCTGCCACAAGACCAGATAAGAAACTTTGGAGCTGTTGGAGTGATTTGTCATATGTTGGATCAGCAATGCAAAACATCTGAACAAAAAAAACAAGTGTTTGTTGGGCAAGCTACTTTAGGATTATATAGTCTATTCATAATATCAGGAGTCATCCTTAGACAAAAAGTTGTATGTTATACTACAAAAAATTAGAAGTAAGATATGAAGTACTACTTATAGTGGCACGCTTATTAAAGAATGCGAAATAATATGGTTGATACTTGATATTGAATATGTGAAGTATGAAGGTGTTTGAACCACAAAAGAAGTAACACAGAGGAAGTAATACTTATTTGTCAATTTGTCATGCTATGTTGCACGGAATCGTGGGAACATGGGGAAACGAGAAACATCATGTTTTAATAGAAAAACAAGTAGTTGGAGAATTTCTGAAGATTTTCCGTAGAGTTTACGAATTGGAAACACTCCTTATTGAGAGTTTCCGTGCTTCATTGCTGCCATGAATTTCGTTGATTGACTTTTGTACTCATCATTCATCTTTTCTATGAAAACCCTAATTTTAGGGCCCATTCATTACGGTGTCTATTCTAAACTTTTTAGTTGAGTGATTTAAATGGTACGTAGTATATGATATTATGATATATATTGTCTAATGAACTAAAAAATATCAAGTACTATTTTTCTCTCGTCTTTCTCCCTTCACTATTCCTTATTTTGGTGTCCCAGCCGTAGTAGAGGAACCACAGCAATTCATCGTGAACTTGGTGGTAAAACTCAATTATCACACGTACACTAACAATGTTAATTTTGAAAACAAAAAAAAAATCTTGGTTTCCTAAATTGTTCCTTTAGTTTTGAAAGAAGCAGAAACACAAAAACAATAAAAACGGTACAGAAGAAGGTCTAAATTCACTGTGTTGCCTGTGATCTCATTAGGTAGCCCCTATTTTTAGCTTTTAACCAACTTTTTTTAACAAATACGTAGCTTTTGATTTCACATGTTGAATTGTGCAATAATCAAAATAAGTAAAGTTGAAGTTACTTTTCTTTGTTTTATTAATAAAGTACTCCGTATCTTTTAAACATAATTTTCCATAATTCAGAAGATTTAAGCCCATTCAGCACTTCAGCCAAAAAGAATTTCATCAATTTCAACAAATTTGACCAATTTCAATGTTACCGAACAGACTCTATGTCTGGTAATATATTGAAGAGAAAAGCAAGTAAATCATACTCGTATGTTACTATTGGTTGAAACCTATGTTGTTAAAACCGGACCGGAGGGTGACCCGAAAAACTTATCGGGTCAAGGGTCAACCCGGACCCGAAGGGTCAGCCCGATCAGTGGCTAAAAACCCGATCAATATTTGTTAAAAGGAAATATAAATATGTGTAATTATTTATCACATTAAATCCATAAAGGGGAAAAAATATTATGATTCTTAAAAATATTATGATTCTTAATGTGTAATATTATTGATCTAGACTACTTCTGTATAGCTTCAAAATGTATTTAGAGTTACATAAAGAATAAATATGAATATAACGTGTATTAGAAAATCATTAAAAAGTGGTATAAGTATTTTTACTTATATTTGGAATGATATATATATACACACACACACACACACAATCAGACAATATAATATTAGTAATAATAGATATTACTATTGTTTTTAAAAGACAGTAATAATGTTTTAACTTTAACATTGAAGGTATAATAATTATTTAAAAAACTAATGAAACAAATCCGTTGTTATGGCTGAATGGGAAGCACCTTGGTTTCTCCTATGTGACCGGGGTTTGAAACCTCCCGATGGTGAAACTTTTACTTGTGGGTTTGCCAGGTTAATCTGGGTTTCAAGCCGGGTTACAAGCGGGTTTTCTGGTTTGGGCACGTTTAGGGAGAATTGCGAGTTAGACCTCATCTGGCCTTGTATTCCAAGCAGGTCGCCGGATTCCGGGTCAACCTGCTGGGTCGGTTCGGGTCTGATAACAAAGGTTGAAACTTAAGTGCTTTCTTTTTCGGATATTATCATTTTCTTTCATTTAAGGTGTATTTGAAATATAATTTGGTAATATGCTTTTGAATATTGAGCTCCCCACAACTTCATTATATTCAGTTCATCTTCATATGACAATTTCAGCCAAATGTAAACCCTTACCTAAGTGACAATAAATGCTTTTGAAATTTATTAAGTTCTTATCGAAGTGGCTAAATTGGCTAATTCTGCTGATTTATGAGGAAATTATATTTCAAATATATTTTATTAATAAAATAAGGAAAAAAATATTTGAAAAACTAGCTAAAATGATCTTCTACAATGACTTCACCCAATACAACCAGAAAAGTAACTTCAACCTTACTTTTTCTTACTATTACAAAATTCAATGCGCTAAATCAAATGTTATGATGAAAAGTTGGCGGATAAGCGTAATAAGCTGAAAACCAGGGTCACCAAACGACGACCACTAGATCATCCATGGTTGATAACAACAATAATTGTACCTTTAGGGTATTATGAATGCGGTCCAATGCCATGCTGCCAAAATTGGTGAGCATTCCCGTGATAAATTTCTACAATCAAAATTGAACAACTTTTTAGCCGCGTTTTACCCATGTATTACACACATATAAAAGCAAACTATACCCTTTAACTTCCACTGGATTAGCAAAACCAGAACTGCCAGCAAGGAATACTCTTAGGGTATGTTTAAATCCAATAAAAATGCTAGAGAAAGGGGAAAACAATGCCAAGGATACATTTTTCCTGTGTTTATTTTTACGTTAGAAAATGATACGTAGTATTTGAGACTTGAGTATTTTTTTAAATTTACTTTGCATAGTTTTAGATTTCTTATTTAAGATAATAAACTTATTGAGTATTTAAGATAATAAACTTATTGAGTTGAGCTTATGTTTCATTTTCTGCCATATTTTATTTCCTTTCAAAGTTCCCCTATATTTTCCTCTGTATTTTTCTTTCCCTACAGTTTTCCATGTTACAAATAGGGATGTAAGTGAATCTAATCAAGAAAAATATTGTGCATTATTATTCATGTTAGAAGAAATTCATATTCATTTATCAACATAATCTTATTTGACTTTTTTCCATGAATATTACTAAATTAAATTCAAAGAACAAAAATATGACTTTTTTTATAAAAAAATCAAAAAAGTGACATATTTAGTGACTAGTTCACAGTGGCTAATCATCTACAGTGACTTGTCATTCTAAAATACACTATAGTGACTAGTTCACAATGGCTCGTACACAGTAACTAATCATATTTTTGTCCTAAAACATTAAAAGTCATATTTTTGTTCGAGGAAACTCTATCAGTAATATACATGTCTTTTTTTCATCTTATTTTCTTCAGATATAATTGAATTTTGTTTGATTTTTCGAATTTTCAAAAGTTGTGTCCATTTTTTTAAGGTAACTGAGATTCTAATTTAACGCACATGCTTTCGTTTTTAATTTTCACAACATATGTTGAATACAAATTTTAACTCCGCCATGAGATCATTTTTTGGTATCATGTTTGTCCTAAGCTAGGATAAAGGAGGAGGGTGATGTGACAGGCGCGTGACGGCCAAAGGAATCACTTAGTCACATCACATGACATGAATCGAAATATGAATATCGTTACAGCTAGGTCGTCGCTCGTAAGCGGCGCGTCATCCTCCGCTTGGGGGTGGTGTCAAATGAGCAAGGGCACGCTACACTTCATAGGCCTGGGTATGGTGATAAGAATGACAAGGCTGCTAGGTCATCGCCCGGAAGTGACACACCACTCCAATGCCCGAGGATGGTGTCAAATATGCAAGGGCATGGTGAGGGTCGTTGTGGTGTGAAGAAGAGAAGGCAGGGTGCTAGATTGCGTTTTGGGACGTGGAATGTTGACTCTCTTACGGGAAGATCATCTGAGATAGCCGAGGTTATATGAAGAGGAGGAATATCAGCATAATGTGCATGCAAGAAACTAAGTGGATTGGAGAAAAGGCATGTGAGATTAATGTTAGAGATATCCAGAAATTCAATAAAATCACATAAAGAGATCATGAACAACTCTGCAGTCTTTATTGATTAAGAACAAGAAACTATGGCCGAAGCCCCCAATTGACCGAAGTCCCAAAGAAAGAGATAGAATCTCAGTCTTCCCAAGTCCCAAGACACAAGTCTAAAACAGCCTGCCCTTATTTCCCCCAGTCTATTCTATTTATAGTAAACCATACTATACAGCCTACAGATATTAGTTATTAACAGAATTTAACTAACAACTACTCTTATTTATCCTTCTTCTAGAATAAACTCTTCCATAATACTTGTCATCAATTTATGGTTGCATTGAGTCTCTAACATAACTCCCCCCCTAAACATCCACCTTGCCCTCAAGGTGGGTGATAGGACACAGCCAAAATCTTATGCTTCCTCTTCCTCCTGGCGCTTCTACCTTCCCAATATCTCACTGGTTTCAGAGCAAAGAGCTTTAGTACATAATCTTTCCAACTCCCAAATTTTTCTGCAGTATAGAATATTTCTATTTCTGGTGAAATTTTATTCTTTTCACTAGCTTTTAGGCCTTCAATAGCCACAAATATTTCCTGATCTTCCTGAGGTGTATCACCTATACCCTTAGCAGAATTTATGTTCATGCCCTGAGCCTCTGGGCCAGTGTAATGCAACACTGAAACCAAGCAAAATTTAGTGTGTGAGAATACAAAACCAACTCTTTCAGCACCAAATGCATCCGACATTATTCTGTGGATCCCCATTCTGAGTACAGCTTCATTTCCTTCTATCACCATCATTTCATTAATTGCTCCATTTGTAACAGTAATGAAGTATGGCAGCCAATCCCCATTCTCATTAGTCACCGCAAAGTATTTCTTGTGCTTCTGCATGACCATTATCAGTAATTCTTTAGGAAGCTCTAGGAAGGTGTCCTTAAATTTTCCAAGTACTGACATACGTGCCTCAACAAGATTTCCAACTTCATTAATTAAACCAGTCTGCACAATAGGATATCTATTTAAACTATTTGAAAAATCATGGGACTGCTCCAATATAAACTTTTTGGGTTGATCATCATCAACAAAATTCCCAACATGTTGCATCAGATCGCCATAAGATTCTGCATCTACTACCACTATAGTGGCAGATGGAGTGATATGTATACCCTTCGAAACATATCCACTGAAAGGGTTGTTACGAGTGAGGGAATGGGTCATTGCTCCCGCTGTCTTTGCCGATATGTCTCCCCACATGAGATGACTTTCAGTTGCTTTAAATTGAGTATGTAAGTCAAGCTTGGAGTAGTCTAACATGCTCTCAACCCAGGGCTGCAATTCTACTTCTTGTATTTCAAGGTGTTGGGCATGGCTAGACTTATCAGCATCCTGAATCGTAACAACTGGGCTGGAAATTAAATCCATATCGTCTGCAAGATTTGGAGAAACATAATCTTGCCATTGGATAATCTGTCCTTTCTTCTCGAATTCGTCCTTCTTATTTATTTTCTTGATTACAGATTCGGTTGGCTCCAACCCAGTCTTATTTATTGACTGCGGGAAATCTTTAGCATGTTGAGCAACTTGCGAACTCAGCAATTCAGATAGTGAAAAATCTGGCGAAGATCTCGATGACTCTGGTTTTGCTGTCTTCCCTGTCTTCTGCCGGTGTCTAGGTGGAAAATCCCTAATCAAATCTTCCTTTAAAGCCTCCCAACTATCTTCTCTCTTGTGAAAGTCCCACCATTGAAACCAGCCATCTGCAGCTTCCCCCATTGCCTTTGATGCAAGGTCCACTTTAAATCTTTCTGCAATAGCTTGGACTAGGAAATATCTTTCCATCCTCGCTATCCATGCGTACGCTTCACCCTCGTGGAATAGAGGTAATTCCTCCGTCTTTGACCTAGCTGAATTCCGAGAAGAGACTTTAGACGAAAGAGGCGAACTCTGAGTGGGAGGAAAATAACTCTGCGAAGAAACCTTTCGCGAATCTGCCTGCGAAGAAACCTTTCGCGAATCTGCCTGCGAAGAACTTTGCGAAGAGCTATACGAAGAAGGATTTGAATGGTGCAAAGTGTGCGACATATGCGATATGTTTCGCGACCGTGAACAGTAACCTGAAGTTCGCGATTGCGAACCATGGGAAGTAGTTCGCGACTCTGACTGCGAACCTGTGCGCGATAGCGACGAACGATGACTATGGTGTGAGGTACTGTGCGAGGAGCGATGCGAAGCAGAGGAGGCATGCGATCCCCTTCGCGAACGACTTTGGTGTTGTTCCGCCAATTTCGCGATCGTCGCCTGCATCGTCTTTAGCATCTCCTTCATCTGTTGTTGATATCGTTGTTGATTCCTCTCGAATGTTTCCTTCAATCTCTTTTGGTTCTCCTCCAGTTCGTTCATCCATAAATCCATCTTCAAAGGCGTCACTTCCATCCACAGAATCAACGTTCTCTGATACCAATGTTAGAGATATCCAGAAATTCAATAAAATCACATAAAGAGATTTCGCTGTGGTTTTAATCCCAAAGGTTTTAAGCTGTGGTATTCGGGGAGAGAGGAACAGAAATGGAGTAGGCATCATAGTGGCACATGATTATGTTGAGGGTGTGGTTGATGTCTTTAGGAAGAACGATCGCATTATGAGCATTAAGTTGATAATAGGAGATGAGATCATGTCCGTGTTAAGTGTCTATGCATCACAAGTGGGATTGGATGCACCTATCACTCAATAATTTTGGGAGGATCTTGAGTAAATGGTGCGACGAGTGCCAAGGGGAGAGAATATGGTCATAGGAGGCGACCTCAACGGGCACGTGGGCCCAAGTTGTGATGGTTTTGAGAGTATCCATGGTGGACATGGTTTTGGCACTAGAAATGAAGCGGGGAAGAACATATGGATTTTGCTTTCACATATGAGTTGACTGTGATGAACATTTGGTTCAAGAAAAGAGACTCTCACCTTGTCACCTATAGAAATGGAGCTAATAGTACCCAAATTGACTACTTTTTAGTACAGACGACTTGGAGAACTAGCTACACTGATTGTAAGGTCATCCCAGGTGAGAGTGATGTCACTTAGCATAAGATGTTTGTGCTTATTTTTGAAGGTAAAAAGAGGAGGCAGGTTAAGGTACAAGGGGAGCCAAAGATAAAGTGGTGACATAGTCACATAGTTCGCGGAACGTTTCGGTATGGGAACGAAGATCAGGAACGGGGTTCGCTGTGTTTAGCGTATCCGGTACGTGAGGGGGTAGGCTTCTTCGGTACGCTATTTCGGTACGCGGTACATTGTACCATTGAATACGGTATGGTGTATCGTAAAACATATACAACTTATAATGTAGAAATATAATAATGAGCCAAAGATTCACTATTTTTTGGCTTGAGAATATGATGGAATAAAGCAAAATGGCTCACTAAACTGTCTGCACTTCTTTATTGTGAAGCAACAGTCAGTCCATGTATTTTTCGACGCGATTTTCACTATGGGTCATTCGGAAACCGTCTCTATGTGATTTAGTACAGGGATAAGACTGCGTACATTCGACCCCCTTACCCCA